ACAGATCTATTGGCTTCTGAATACGGGAAAAGCTGTAGCAAGTACGATTTTCACCAGTTTTTCATCTAAGACTGCAACTTTCTGAATTTTCTTTTTACAAACTGCACAGTAAGACCAAAGACAATAAAGGAAACCTGGTCATTGTACCACCAATAATAAGTAAAAATAATATTGGTAATATATACCAAGTGTTTACTTTAATTCCAAGGCATCTGAATTGATAAATAAATGAAATCAGTACTTTATTGTATCTTGGGACAAAATACACTGTTTGAATGCTTAAGCTTGACATTACAGTATCGAGTGAAAGATATGTTATTATATACAGCTATATATCACTTTAACTGACTTTACTCTTCAATTTGAAATATGCCTGGCCATCCTAAGAAAAATGCGACGGAGGGCAAAAGGGGTGCATGGTATAATTGGTGATTAAGCTCTTCTAGAGGTTAAAGCTCCCACAATTTTTTAAAACGAAATGGAGAATAACATGTGAAAGTATAGGATGGACTAATTGTTCTAAGAAAGTTTTTGAAAGTAACATTGCATAAAGTATTTAAGCAAGAGATATGTTCCAAAATACTTTCAGGTAGAAATAAAGCTCTGTAATGTAAAAACAATGACGTGTCGCAAAAAGCTCGCGCACGCATTGTTACACATTTTGTGGCGTAATCCAGAGGATCCTCGCTTTTAACATGATAGAATGTGACGTTTTTTGAGAAAAATGTACACACATGAAAATCCTTTCGTCCTCCACATTTACCTCTATATCTCAAAACATTTTAGACGAATAACTCTGATATCATATATATATTGTTAATGGGCTAGGAGCATCATAAAACACGAATCAATTGATATTTTAGGTGAAATAAATATACGTGTTGCTGTGCTTGAAAATAGGCGAATGGCGTAAATTAGTCCTATTTTAATGAATTTTGAAAACCTTTCGTCCTCCGCTTTTCCACATACAACAGAAAACACATACTTTTGTGAACAAAATCAACTATTTATTAATAAACTAGAGTTTAGGAGCAAAATAATCATGTATGATTTATTAAAAATTGATCTCGTATTTTTTGTTTAATGTACACCTGAAAAGTTGAAGGTACCAAAAAATGAGCAAAAAAGGTCGCTGTCAACAGATTCTATTTTTCAGACTCTATGACGTCACAATATGGGACGCTTACTAAAATTCATCCTTTGAAATAAAAATTCCATCTACCTTTATCAAGACGAAAAATAAGTATAATAGTCATATATTGTTTGAGTTATGAGCGTTTAAAGACGAAAAATAATTCAAAATGTAACGTGTCAACATGGGATATTTCCCAGATGTTTTGGTAAAAAACTCTTTTTTAAAAACGAACGCGCAAAAAAATGTGAACGGAGTGTAGTTGATCTAAAATCTTCATCGAAACAGCTTTAAAATGATATATAACTTTAATTAGAATATTATCTTATAATCCGGGGAATCAAAGTTACATTCACGCGATACCCTTAAAAAACAAATGCGCCACCTTTTTGCGACACGTCAATGTATTCTCAGTATTCAATAATAACATTCTTTATTGTTTTTTTGGTCTTAAGCATATCAGTGATTATCCCATGGTTGCAAGGATATAGATCGAATATCACATGAAGATATATTTGATATGTGGATCAAGTTATAATATTTTAGCAAAAAATTCACAAACCATCGAATATCACTTTTAAACTATCGAATATCACGTCTTAAAAAGTGATATTCGATGGTTTCGAATTTTTTCAAAAAAAATTTCTTCTTACATTTTTTAATTATTTTAAAAAATATTTAAAAAAATTTCAACATTTTTTCACAATTTTTTTTCAATTATTTTTTCAAATTTTTTCTCGAATTATATTTTTCACATTTTTTCGCTGATGATGATTTCCCATAGGATAAATAAATTTTTTTTCAAAAATATCAATTATATCCACTCATGGATACAAATATCTTCACTCACTCGCTGCGCTCACTCATGAAAATATCAATATCCACTCATGGATATAAATGATATTTTTTCAAAACCATAGGATATTCCTATATTATATCAATTCGGATGCTGAAGTCACTTAATTAATAATAACTAGATGTAACTCCTAGTAAGCACTTCAAGTTTCAGTTCTAAATAAAATAAAGTTTAGTTAAAAAATTGTTAAGAATACATACATTTTTTCACAATCACAATTTCACCATTTCTGACTGTATTTTGCATATTTTCAAGTCTCAATGGCTAAATAAAATAAAGTTTAGTTAAAAAATTGTCAAGAATACATACATTTTTTCACAATCACAATTTCACCATTTCTGACAGTATTTTGCATATTTTTAGGTGTCAATGGTTCAATGATTATTTGATATAACCTCCTGAAACTACTCTCATATATATTTGGTGGTACAGTGATATGGAATCCTGTCTTTTTGGGTCTCACGGAATTCTTGTTTTAGAGAAGAAAATCCTGAAAGCTGCAGTTTAATATTATGAATTATAGGTGAAAATTGCACTTGCTACACTGCTTCTCCCATTTTTAGATGCTAATAAATCTGTAACTGCACTTACTATGACCTTAAGTCTACTCATATGTATTATTGGTATTACTAACTAGAGGTAGAATCAGAAATTATGGTAAATAAAAGTAAAATTTAAGAGATAAATTGTTCTGAATAGTGCATTTTATCACATTTTTTCGCGATATCTGACTGCATTTTGTGTCTTTTGGGTCTTTTTAAGAGTCCATGCAGATATGAATACTTGATCTAGAGCTCTGAAATTTTCAATACCAGAATTTGGTAGCACTATGTCTTGATATCCTGTGTTTGGACTCTAACCAAATCACAGTTGTTGAGAAAAAATTCTTAATGGCACTATCTCATTGCCCAGATATTGTGGAAACATTGTGACTTATATTCCATGTGATAGTAAGCACTGAAAATGGACTTGTTGCATTGTGGCGGACCCCATACAAAACAAACATAGGGGTAGGGGGGGGGGGTTTAAACGTTGATCAGTTCTGCTATTTTTTGTGGCTATTGGTCATATAGTAGATCATTTTGAATGCACTATTCCGAGAAAAAGTTTGTAAATTGAAACAGCCTATTAGATTTCATTATGATACATTGTACAAAATTGAAATCATTATATAAAATATGTAGAGTCCTATATTTTAATAATAAATGAATTACATTGTCAAGTAACAAGTGAAGATGTTTTATATGCATCGATTTGCTTTCTATCAATACAAGCTTTTAATTGTATGCTGCAAAATGATAACATTGACCACGCCCACTTTCCAGGGGTAGGGTACTATAAAGTCATATTAAAAATCATAAATAGTACATTATCATTATTATAATTGTATTACAATATCAAACAAAGCTTGAATTAGTTTTTAGAAAACAATTTTGAGCTATTTAAGCTGCCATCTTTTGCTGGAAGCTACAAATATAAGATACGTGAGACTTAAAAATGACTAAAATTGCGTATTTTTTTCCTATTAATTGCAATATTTCTGAGACTAATACAGATATTGGCCTATAACTTTAGGATATTATTCATCTTTGGACTAGTAATGTGTGCTGTAGAAAACAGAACAATAGCAACTATATCCTTTATGTTATGAAATAGTCCTATAGTACCCCCTGGAATCGCAGGAATTGAAGTCAAATTCGGCCGTGAAAATTGTTTTTACCACTTTAAAGGCCATCACCTTATATTTTCTTATACCTACTAGGTTACTCTAACATACTGCATTGCCAAAAGTTACTTCTTGCAAACTTCCGGCAAAACTGTGCCAGCATCTGATACATTAAGGGTTAAGAAAGCAATCAAGCACGTTATTTTATTACTCTCGACAAGCACTAAACTACTTTATAAGTGTAGTGTGTTTTAAAGGAAATTAACTATTAACTATTGCAACTTCCACCAATGGTGATTTGGCAACATTTACAAAAATGTTATATATAGTTGAACAATACTGGCATGTTGACAGTACATGTGTTTGAACTCGTCAAGGTGTCGTTTAATACACTTTTATGGGATTTATCAATGGGAATTTACATCTAAACAGTATCAGTTCAGTCCTTGTTATTTAGACTATCCATGATAATTATTAGAAGCTCGTTCTTTAAAATGAGTCTAGGACCTTCATATGTGTAAAAATCTTGACCAAACCAGTAACAATTGATCGTTAGAATAACTCGATCAATTGCCAAGAAACGGTTCAAATAATATAACACAGCCTATATTGTCTAATGTTTTATCAAATAATTATTGAAAACTTAGTGCCCAAAATAAACCACACGGTGGCAAATGGTTAGCCAACACGGCTAATGCTACTGTAGACTATCGATGACTAATATTATTTAAACAAAAATCATATTTTTGGCATTAAAAACATTTCAAAGACACATTAAGAAAGCTAAATTACAATGTGTCGCTTTAGTATCCTAATTATATATTTAAATAAATAAATTACATGGCATTGCTTTAATAAGCGATCTTTTCTACGAACTCACTTAACTGGTACATCCTTTGCAAAATTGATGAACATAGCCTGAAATCATGAAGTAATTGGCTCAATCTAAGAGTGAACAACCCTATTTCGAGGTCAGTGTTTTGTTTTTATTTACCAAATTGTATTTCGTATCAAAGTGATTCCCCCTGAAGTGTAATTTGACAATCTTATCACGCGGCGTTACATTCTGCTCTGAAAATTAAATTAGTTTTGCCACGAAAACAGACACGTACTGACCTTATATTCCCTATATAATGATAATATTAATTTTTAGGTGTTTAGGATTCGTCGTCGTAGGTGTGGCCTTTACAAGAAAGTTAGCATGGTTATGAAAAACTGTTGCAAAACGCCTTACGTATTCCTATATTGATAGATAACCATTGACATGACATTTGAGAGAACAATTTTTATGATGTAGAATATGACTCAATGTACAATGTATTTTTATCTCTTTCAGGAGCATTTCTGATTCCATATTTGCTGTTCGTTGCACTTTGTGCGATACCAGTGTTCTATCTGGAAGCGGCACTTGGACAATTTGGAAGTCTAAGTCCTTTGGCAATGTGGAAGATTAGCCCGTTGTTCAAAGGTATGTTTGAAATGAATGTAATTTGCCTATCATATACACAAAGTGAACGATCACGCGTTGCGTTAAACGAAAAACATTATATTAATTTTCATTTTCCTTTTTTAAAAGAATATTATGATTTTTGGACATAATGTTTTTCAGGTATAGGATATAGCATGGTAGCCGTTGGATTCGTGGCAAACATTTACTACAACGTAATTGTAGCCTGGGTAGTATATTTCCTCTTCGCTTCATTTACTTGGACGCTTCCATGGAGTACATGTGATAACTCATGGAACACGCCCCAATGTAGTTCAATACAGGTAAATAATGTTCATTCGAACATGACTGTATTCATACCCCTGGTAATACAAGTAATGTGTGACGTCATAACGGCGAACCGTATACCTCAGAATAGGTGTAATATCGTCGAATACACTCCTTAGGGCTATGCACAACAGCTATCGAACCGTATACCTCAGAGTAGGTGTAATATCGTCGAATACACCCCTCAGGGCTATGCACAAAAGCTTTCGAACCCCTCACTCCTTTCGGTCGTTCGGGATACAGAAAACGTTTGTGCCTAGACTTGCGGGGTGTATTCGACGATATAACCCCTGCTCCTCGGCCTTTACATGGGTTTTTCTTGAAAGCTCATGGTCTATATTTCTAAATTTTACCTCTTCAGCATCCTACTCAACATATCCATTTATATTTATTATTCCATACCATAATCAGATAAAATGCTCTGATATAAACTAGAATATAGCCAAATGAATTTGTGATTCAATAATTTGTCCTCAGTTGGTGTAATTATTAAAACTAGAAAACAAAATTTCAACAGTTCGATCAAAAATTAATATTACATAATCTTTCAGATTCTTCCCTCTCAAAATATTTCAGGAAGCGATAACCTGAACAAGCAATGTCAATTTTTCGACCAAGATCCTTTTGCATGTAGTCACTATTTACCACTTTAAGTTTACTCTACTTTAGGTCAATACCACATCAAATAAAACAGTCGACTATCTACTAAAAAATGTTACTGATACTATAAAGCAGGCAAACTTCTCGGTAAATGTTGCCAATGGGAGTGCTTTGGTAAACACTACACAAAGACGTGTGTCCCCAAGTGAGGAATATTGGAGGTATATTTCTATTTATGTTTTCTTCAAAAACACATATATTTCCATCAATAACACTGAAATTCTACATAATGCTCAGCCTGAGCATTATGTAGAATTTCAGTGTTATTGATGGAAATGCTGTGTCAGGTTGTATATTTTCTTAGATTATAATTATGCTAATTTTAAGACGTTATGTCCTCAACATTACCGATGGTATAGAAGACATGGGTTTTGTTCAGTGGAAGCTGTTGCTTTGCCTCGTTGCAGCATGGGTGATTGTGTTTCTGTGTCTCATCAAGGGGCACAAGACATCTGGTTCGTAACAGAGGTTTTACTTTTTTAAATGAAATTACGAACACCGTTGTGATGATCCTAGGTTTCTTTAATGTTTACTATTTAAGCGTTGATTTGACCTTAACTATGACCTTAATTCAGACAGGCATAGGTCTTAAGTAGGGAGAATACAATACTAGATGATTGATGATTAATATAAATTTACTATTTTCTCAAGGCAAAGTTGCTTACTTTACGGCCACCTTTCCTTACCTTATACTCACAATCCTGTTGATACGTGGTGTGACCCTCCCTGGAGCAGCAGATGGTTTAAAGTACTACCTCATTCCTAAGTGGAAGAAACTTCTAAGCTTTAAGGTAAGTACCATACCATCTTCAATTGGTTCTTTACTTCCTTTTCACAATCAATTGAACTCAGTGATTGGAACATTTACAATTAATTAATATTAGGCAACTAAATGCACGAATGCCAACTATCAGTTTATTGTATTTGTATTTCATTTATATCAAACATTCATGATTTAGATCATGATGTAAATGGAAAATACTCGACCATCAAAACAGCACAATTGACACATTTGAAAACAATGGACTAATTATAAACTGTTATAACCCGATAAAAAATAAATTGTTTTAATTTGTTGTAGGTATGGGGCGAAGCAGCAATGCAAATTTTCTTTTCGTCCGGTGTTGGCGGGGGCAGTGTAGTCACAATGGCCAGTTATAACAAATTCAACAGCAACTGCCAAAGGTGAAAAATCATATTTTGTGCATATGTTTGAGCCATGGGATTGTTCATGGATTAACTTTCAAAGGGTCTTGCAATGTATTTTACATCAATGCAGCTTTAACGACAATTTATTCTTAGTTTTTGGCACTTTATGGTTCTTTTAAGTTTACTTTCAAAAGTTTACATATTTGTAAGTAATGTACTAAAGACCTTTAACGTTAGTAATTTGAAATTGAAAGCTAATCATTAGTTGAAAATGTATACTTGCAATGTAGAATTATAAATGTAAAATGTATAATTTTTACATCGTAAACTACACGTTATTGTATGTTTATTGTAACACCTTTTATTGTGACTACGTTTTCAACTATGGCCATCCAAAACACTTTCTAAAGCACTATATGATGATTAATGCTTTAAATAGCTAAGTCACACGGCTTACTTTTATCACAAGGGAGCATCCACCGATGCACAGCAACCTAAGATATCACGGAGATGGCAGAGTTCGCTTCAAGGAACCAATCAAATGTTTTAAATGGCTTAGTTACACAGCATACCTTTATCACGGGAGAGCATACACCAATGGACAGCAACCTAAGATGTCACGGAGATTGCAGAGTACGCTTCAAGGAACCAATCAAATGTTTTAAATGGCTTAGTTACACAGCATACTTTTATCACGAGAGAGCATACACCAATGCACAGCAACCTAGGATATCACGGAGATGGCAGAGTACGCTTCAAGGAACCAATCAAATGCTTTAAATGGCTCAGTTACACAGCATACTTTTATCACGAGAGAGCATGCACCAATGCACAGCAACCTAGGATATCACGGAGATGGCAGAGTACGCTTCAAGGAACCAATCAAATGCTTTAAATGGCTCAGTTACACAGCATACTTTTATCACGAGAGAGCATGCACCAATGTACAGCAACCTTAGATATCACGGAGAGAGCAGAGTACGCTTCAAAGAACCAATCAAATTTCTTAAAGGGTGAGATTTAAATTTCCTGTTGCAATTCCAAAATGGTTATCCTTATTTTATTACAGAGACTCCGCTATAATTTCAATCATGAATGCTGCTACGAGTGTGTTTGCTGGTCTTGTGATCTTCTCGGTTGTTGGATTTATGGCTCACGAGACTGGTGAGAGTATTGAGCGCGTTGTTACTCAAGGTAATATTTATTATTGATATATTGTGCCATCTAACCAATAGTGTCGCCCTTTTCAATTAATGGCACGATCAATATTCAAAGTTTCATTGAACATCCATCTCTTTGGAGAAAAATATTGTTACTATGGTAAATGTATGATTCTTATCGCATCCTACGACCCCTTTAGATTGTGGTCGTACGCGCGAATCATTGGTCAGTCAATGTTTTTACAAAGTTGGAGAAAGTACTACGCATTGCACACCTAAATGACCTACCTCGATACATTCCTCATTAGCATTTTAGAATTCTTTTTATGTTGATAGGTCGCTAATTGTATGGGTTTATCGGCAGAACGAAGAGATTTTAGTTTTTACATCGGAAATATGTCAGCAATTTTCAAAATGTCGGAAGGGAAATTCCCCAGGGAAATTCCCCAGTCGTAAAATTCGATAAAATGATTCATACGTTCATTTACTGTCATAAGATCATGTTTGAGATAGAACGTTTTGAAGTATTCAGTTTTAGTTTAGCGGATGTTTTAAAAACATTTTCCCTTCGACCAAATCACATTTGACTGGACTTGTGCCAAACATAGACCACCCTTTTGAAGCCGTCATATTTGAGTTGGGGTTGTGATTCACTGTACCCTGTTCAACAAATCTCCATAGTTGGCATATTTCATGTCGGATCATATGTCGATAGTACCCGAGGTAGAGATGTCTTGAAACTAAAAATCCACAACGTTCAATGGTAAAATTGAGAATAATTAAAGTGTCCACGAGATAAATACTCTAATTGATGGCAACGTATCTCGAGACATGTGCTTTTATCTAATTAAATTTAAAGTTTGCATTGAATTGTTTGCACGTCTTGATATTATCGTATAAAGTTTGAAATTATTGATTAAGGTCCTGGACTAGCTTTTGTTGTGTACCCAGAGGCTATTGCGAAACTCCCGGCTTCTCCTGTGTGGTCTGTGTTGTTTTTTACAATGCTTCTAACGTTGGGTGTGGGTAGTATGGTAAGTAGTTGGGTGAGACAACTTAACATGTGAAGTTTAGAAGCCTTTTAGCAAGGCCCCACCTTTAACAAAAACAATTTAAGCCGAGTATTTACCGGGTAAGGACAGGCAAACCGCCTCCTTAGGGCGACACCAATTTCTGTACCGTACCTTCAACATCGGCAACACCAACAATCACTCTACTATACCTTGCATTTGGTGTTCATGAGCAACCCATTTGGTGTTCATGAGCAACTCATTTGGCTTATCAGTAATGATTATGTTATTTGTTTTTATGTGTCTGCTGCTTATGAATGGTTTATTGGATGATTGCTTTTAGATGATAATAAGGTACTTTCAAAAATATACTAAACAATACAATTAGACAGAATATCTTATGCATTTCTAGGGGTTAGGTAAAGTAGAGTGAACAATTGGTATAAAATCTACGACAGGACTCCAAATTCGCTCACAACAATGAAGATTATTGTTCTATTAAATTAACAACCCAGCTCTTGAAAAATAAAATAAAAGAGCATCCCAAAATCCCTATGTTAAAATAATAATGTCAATACATTAGATCACATTAGTTAAAGGCAGAATCAGAGAATCCGATCTATGGGGGTGACAAAATTACAAGCAACATGTACAATTGACCTGCCAATCTGTTCCTTACAATCTCAAATACATCAATTCTTTTGCTTACCTGAAATAAAGTGTGCATTTTGGGGATTTCTAGAATATACAGGGTGTCTCAAAAAATGTACCCAAAAGTATATCAAAAGCACAGATAAACCAATCAATATTTTCAGACATTTTTTGCGTGGTCATGTAGCCAAAACATGAAAGTTTTCTCCCCAATACACCATTTTTATTTCAGTCTTGTCTTTTTGATGCTTTAACCCTTTACCTTTACACCACATAATCGATGTAACCTCATATTTTTATGACAGCTTGTATCCTTACTGCTACATTGTTCATCACATTTGATAATAATTCTGGTGGAATGTTTTAGATTTCTCTTTTAATGTTGCCCTTAAGTTGTTCTAGGTCTTTTTGCTTGAAATTAGCATTAAAACACTCCTTCAAATAGCCACAGAGAAAGATGTTTGAGGATGACAATGGCAGAACAAACACAGATAATCAGGTCAATCATCGGCTAATGATTCAGGAGTTACCTTCCAGAGTTAGACAGGCTAGCCTGGAGACCAAACGATATCCAAATGAAAACACAGTGGTCTCAAATTGATACACACAACAAAAGCTACACTATAATCCTAACCAATGCAGTTTCTTGAACCTCTGACCCATCTGTATAAGGGGGCTATAAGACATTGTGAGGGCCTCCCTATTCACCATATTTCACGGCCCATACTTTTTTCTCTGAGGCTATTTGAAGGACCATTTTTATGCTAAACCCAAGTTAAGAGACCTAGAAGAACTTAAGACCAGCATCCGAACAGAAATCAAAACATTCCACCAGAAATATTAAATGTGATGAACAATGTAGTAGTAAGGATGCAGACTGTCATTGAAATATGAGGTTACATTGAATATGTGGTGTAAAAGGTAACGGGTTAAAGTATCAAAAGGGCAAAACTGAATCAAAAACTTTGTATAGGGGAAAAAACTTTCATCTTTTATCTACAAGACCATGCAAAAAATGTCTGAAAATATTGATTGGTTTATCTTATGGTGTTGATATATTTTTGGGTACATTTTTTGAGACACCCTTTATAAGCACAAATGTGAAAATAGACATGAAAAGAAATGACATTAGCCAGAAATATTCCAAAATTGAAACATTTTTTGTAAGGTTACTTGCTAGATCTGATTCTCTCTTTAACTCATAAAATGAAATTAAAAAGGTCTCAAAACAAAGTAAATTATAGTTTGATTACTGATATTTAATTGCAGTTTGTGATGATACAGTCAATAGCAAGCTGTATAACAGACGAATTCAACCTGACTAGTAGGAAAACACTTGTGACAGCCATTATATGTGTAGTAGAGTTCCTCTTTGGAATTCCTTTAATAATGCAGGTAAATATACATATTGCTAGTTTCACAAACGTCAGCATTTATAAGTAGTAATTTTATACCAACAAGATAATCAAAAGTAACATATTTTAAATATATCTCCAAGCCTTGCCTAAGTCTGTGTCTTTTTATTTATTTTTGATTTTATATTAATTGAAAATCAAGATAAAAATATGATACCATTTGGACAAGGCTATATCTCCGTCAGTAGAAATATTCACAAACTATTTGTCTGGAGCAAAATTCTTTATCAATTTCCAATGGAGTCTAATTTAACCATTCATCTATATACTTGTATATGATTTATTCTGTTTTAATTTTGAGCATAGATTTGTTCAATACCATCCAGGAGCTCTTGGTTTATTGTAACACTAATCCCGAAACTACGAGTTCGGGAGAAACCTTCCAATCTAAGCAAAATGTACTTAAATCCTATTGAAATTACGGAAAGACAGACAAGCAGACAAACCGAGTAATTATCCATAAAGTTTTATAAGAAAATTATGAAATATTATACGAAGCATTTATGATTATATCTACCCTTTTCATTCGTTTAATTTCACTTCTTAAAACTTCTTAAAAGAGAGCTTCGTCTTCTGCGCGCAAGGTAGATTATATCAACATATTCTTTGGTAGTTTGACAGGTGAATGAATTTAAGGGTTTCCCTCTCTAAAAAATGCTATTGAAACTTGTTCACAGTGTCATGCATACAAAAAATTTACTTCGGTCCAAAGCCTTCTCTATATTCCGGCTTTGAGTAGAAGATTGAGCTGCCTTGGTACTATGAATATTGTAAATCATTGTGTTACACGCACAGTAAATATGGCATAATAATATGAAATATACCTTTATGTATACGATTTGAAGAACATCAGCTCACATCCCCGTCTGAATCTATTGTTATATTTGATTTCTTTAAGCGATTTATTCATGTCCAGAACCGGAAGCCATTTTTAGCTACAGCGAGAAAATGTCACCATGTGTCAAACTCCGAAATGAAATTTTGAAATATCTAAATCCAGACAAGCAACGCTTCATCCTAAATATAATTAATATTCTTAAATATATTTATAAAATTTATAAAAAATGAGTACTAGGTGCGTGTAGGTGCGTGTAGGTGCGTGTAGCACCTTTTCTAGAGTACATACGAAATCAATGAAGTTACGTCTAGCTGTAAGCTAGAGACTCGAGTAACAGAAAATCATCCCGCCACCGTAACCTCTATTTGTTCAGAAAAATCAGAAAAATTGACATTATGATGACGACTTTCGCACCAGGGGTTTATTATTCGCATTTCTACTTCATCTACTAAATGATTAATAACACAAATATCTTTTTGCAAATTAAAATATCCCGTATTGTGATTGTTATAATAATACTGAGACTAGATGTGCGCGTATATTGTTAATTCTTTTCAGGGTGGCATGTATGTCTTACAAGTGATGGACTGGTACAGCATACCATTTGTCGTAATGATTATAACGTTTGCTGAGTGTGTTGCCATTGCATGGATATATGGTGAAGCCTCAAAATATATTTCTCATTTAAAAATCATAATGAAGTGCATCAACACATGTTATTATCTTGTTCATATTAACGTTTCGACTTTGTCACTCATGCATTTCCATTAATGATGTGCATCTCCATTTTTTATCGTTTATTATAGGCACGAGCCAATTTTCTAAAGATATTGAACTTATGATTGGTTCAAAACCGTCAATTTTGTGGAGGATATGTTGGCGATTTGTCACTCCAGGACTTGTATTGGTAAGCATCACACTATAGTACAATCTTTGCAGTACATTATTGTATTATTTTATATAAATATTAAACAACGTATTGTAATTGGTGAGTACTTTGCTTTATATTCGAATGGACTTCTTTATTGTTGAGCAAAAAAGAAGGAGGAAATAAAGATAATACAATACATTACAATACAATACAATACACATCAATATATATCGAATTGCTACAAATATCAGTGTGCGGTCCAAATTCTCATATTGATGAATAACACGCTGTAAATAAGTGGACAATTTTTCGATTTAGTATTTTTAGAACACAGATGGCTAATTTGGATTGTTTTGAGAAAATATCCCAAAAAGCAAAGAATGTCACGAGGAACTCTATATTGACGAAAAGCAAGGCGATATTGAATTGACAAGATATTATTTTGTCTTGCAGTTTATATTTTGCTTCATCATCGTCACTCACGTACCTGTGACGTATGGGAGTTATACGTATCCCGATTGGGCAATTGGTGTGGGTTGGATGCTTGCAGTTGTATCATTTGTACCAATACCCTTGTTTGCATGCTATCGTATAATGACTACAGTTGGAAAAAGTTTAAAAGAAGTAAGTGCTTGGAAGAATCCAAAGAGTTCAAGTTAAAGTTGTACTAGCCGTTTTGCTCGGTTTATGCTATCTTAGCGTATGGAGGCCACGCTTTACGATGGTGAACCACCAACACTTCCAAAAGTTCATTGTATATGTAATGAATGATATTGCGGTGCGTTGCTCACCACAATATTTTTTTTGTTAAATTCAGGCAATTAAATATATTCATTTTGTTATTGGAATGCGTGCGAATGTGAAACTAATGTATATTTCTACTTTGTTTCGGCCTAAGTAGTAGTACAACAACTTTTCGATTTAGCGCCGGAATAACTTGGCACACGGTACGTCAAACAGTCATGGTCAGATGACCTCAAAAAGTGCGCGAAAATAACAACTTTTAAGAGGTTGACAGTCATTTCTTAATAAATTGTGTTTTATGGGGAAATATCACAAGCTTTGTAGTCACAATAACAAAAGAGATGTTATTTGTGCTAAGTAAAAGCTAATTTGAGATTTTTGAATAGGGTTAAGAACAACTTTAATACTAGGTAGTAAATAAACAAACGGCGGAACAGAAATAATAGCAGTATATTTACATCACAAATCATTACTTATCTTTATACATTTTTTTAGCGAATCCAGTATTTGACAATGCCTGAGCCAAGTTGGGGTCCATCGCTGGAGAAAAACAGAGCATTGTATATTGAGACACTTAGTGAGAAAAGGAAGAGACACATGTTGGGTCATAGAGATTTGGACATGGTTTCGACTCCATTAGGCAATGATAAATTATAGAATGATACAGGTCGATATTATTCGTCTTACCGAAATATGTTAACTGATAATGGCTTTTTAATCACTTATTTCATATAATAAATTTATATTTAGCATTGCATATACCGCCTAGGTTTGTGCATACATATTGTTGGCAGTGGGTAAACAGTACATACATGTAATGTCACCTTAATTAAGAAATTAAATTGACTTTATCGTTAGAACTTAAACCAGATGTACAAATCAAAATGATCAATTGAAATGCCTTATTTTCGAAAATATGCTATGTCGTAAATCTCAACGGAATCTCAAATATTTCTAATATTCACCATATTTAACTTATTTTCTAATACTTGTTATGTACAGGACGTTCATTAAGTTCGTGCAAAGATACTCTAAAAAATTTGTTTCTAAGTCAATCTGGCTGCAATTTTCACTCAGTATACCTCCACTATTCATACATTGAAATCCTAATTAAATTATAAGAAATGGGTTCATATAGAAAAAGTTATGATTGCCATATTAACGTGAGTAGGGGGTAGGCAGAGCAGGCAAAATGATCTGTTTTGTTTGAATAATCACATTTTTTAATGTTGTCCTGTTTATTTTACTAACAGTATCTCAAGGGTATAGGTGTTCAACATAGTGTCCATCATGGTCTATACACCTCTGCTGTCTCACTACCCATTCCTCAAACAGATGGCAGAATCCATTTGGGACATATCTGGCAATTGATCCTTGTACGGATGCCATAAGTTATCCTAATAGGTCGAATGACGAGCTTCACGAAATCGTCCCTCACCAATGCCATTCGCAAAAAGAGAATAATGCATGGAGAGCCAAGAAACCCAAGCAACTATATTTATAATGATGATAATGCCAACATTAACAAATTGAAGATGGGTTAACAAAATCAAATTCTCTAATCACCTGACAAGGCACCACTTGACTTTGAGTTTCATGCAGAATTAAGAATGATTCATACAAGGACCAATCGCCAGATATTTCCCAAATGGGTGTCCCCATCTGTTTAAGGAGTGGTCAATGAGACAGAAGAGGTGTCGATACCATGATGGACACTATGTTGAACACATATAACCTTTAGATACTGTTAGAAAAATAAATAGGACAAAATAAAGAAAAATGAACATTCAACCGAAACTGATCATCTGCCTTCTCCGCCTACACCTGACTCACGTAACTATAGCAACCATAACTTTTTTCTTTATGAACTCATTTCTTATGATTAAGGATTTCAATGTAGCAATAGTGGAGGTATACTGAGTGAAAGTTTCAGCCAGATTGGCTCAGAAACAATTTTTAGAGTATATTTGAAGGAACTTAATGAACACCCTAGTGTATAGCCACATGAAAACAATGTTTTAATTAATTAAAGCAACCTGTATTGCCAAATGGCGATAGGTATGTGTTTATTTATGTACTTTTATATTATTTTCAATAAGTAAAATAAAGACATGAATAATAAACTTAAACAAGAAAGAGTACCACAACACATTTATGTCAATATCTGCAGCACATCCGATTCCAGAGAATGTCTGAACAAAGCTATGTACGATCGCTCAGAGAAACAACAAAATGAATTTTTGAATTAGTATAAACCCAATTGAAAAATAAAACTAATTACCAACTTATTACCAACTAATTTACAACTAATTATCAACAATTCTGCTGGCAATTGGAATTAAAGTTAAGCGTTAATTAAATCAATGATAATTATGGCCTAATTATCAGTAGCAAGTTCAACGTAAATTAACTTAAAATAATGCTGATTTATGATTTTTAGTTGATAATTAAGATATGAAATGTTTGAGGGTGATAGTAAGTGGTAAATTAAAACGTTTCTGTTCTGAAGTAGATTATTGGTTGATAGTTAACATATAGGATGATTATAATGATAATTAGTCGTAAATTAGGCCCATGATTTAGAAATACAAACCCCCTAAATTTAATTTCAAGATGGTGGAAAAAGAAAACATATGAGAGATATTTCTCTCATAAAATTGAGAATTACAACGTGAATGGTGCGTATACTACCATGGAGTTTGGTCAACATTATTATAAGGGTATGTAGAACATGAATACAATGTATGTTAAATCTTATTCACACTTCTGTCTGAAATGTTTATGAATTTAAAAATCTTTTTGAATCAGATCATATAATATTAATCCTCGAATGCAATTTAGGTACTAACATGGGTTACCTATATTTCACAAGTAATCCAAATGTGCTCTTCTAAATAATGATTGTTAGATCAAAGACATTTCAAAACATATTTTTGATTATATCTGTTACGTCCTTATTGTGTAACATTATAGTCTAATGTTTGTGTTCTGATTTTAGTTGTTGATGGCAATAATGATGTTTGCACATGCTTTTCATGAATCTTAAAAATTTGCAAAATAGAATAGCTTTAAAAAAAAGGGGGGGGGAGAAACCCCAGGGTTCAAAGATGACATACGCTTATAATGTAAATCTGTATTGAGATGACATCGTCGCTGATTGGTTTAGCGAGTCGATCGTTGATTGGTTTAAAACTAGGTCAATTTGAAAACTTTGAAAACCAAGATGGAGGGTACGTTTTCGAGTGCGAAGGAGGAAATCGTATGTCATCAATTGAATCATGGGGTTTTCCCTCCTCTTGCTGTGAAATTTCAATAGTTCAAGTTCAATGTTGTCTGTTCTGAAAGATCCTAATTAAGATGAATATTCTGTCACAAAATAGTTCAAGATAAAGCAAAAATCTCCGAGTGAAGAGAAGCAAAAAAGAAGCGAGTCATTTTTGAGATGTCACAAATCTGACTTAAACCTAACTTTCAACTAATTATCAATAGTAAGTTAGGTGATAATTAGAGATTAACTTACATCAAACTTACAACTAACTTTCAACTAATTTACGTAAATAGCTCATTTGCATATTAATGGTAGTTATTCGTTAATTAAGTTGCAAATTAAGCGTTAATTAAGTTGATAATTAGCTCATTTGCATGTGAATTTTTACACCTAACTTTCAACTAATTATCAATAGTAAGTTAGGTGATAATTGGAGATGATTTTCCATAGGCTTTTTTTGGAAGATAAAAGACAGCACTTTTTTGCCATCACGAATTGAACGTTGTCTTTTCACCATTTGCGCATTAAAAGTAACGAATGGTGAAAAAGATTCTTGAATAAAGAATAAATTATCCATAGGATATAAATAAATAAAATATATGGAAACTGAGTGCTGAAAACCTCAAATGTTTCACTATTGTCGATTCTCCAAAAAAATAATAAAGTAAAAGTACACGTGTTGCTTTATTTGATTGTACTTTATCCACTGCCATTTCTAAGAAGTTCAAGCTTTCCGTTGCTGTACTATCACAGGTATCTGTAACGCGTTACAGAAATATAGGGGGGGGGGTGGAGGATCATCATTATCTGATCCAGATAAAACATAAACACGATTCGAATTCTCTAAGTTCTGGAGTTAATTCTGCCATTGCGTTTCCCTTTTTGCAGCAACATTTCTCTTTTGCTTCCTTTTGCAGACCACACAAACGATGATGATTATTATACCCAGCAGAACACATGCCACAGACCATCCGATTAATACACGCTTGTCGCTAACGCCCGTGTGTACTTTACACGCAACTAAACACATCTCGGCATCACTCCATTCACACACACCAGAGTGAAGACAATCGCTAAAACATTTTTATGTATTTGTAGACATTACAATACATATTAAGCGAAATAATTTGCCCTACATAAAATAAGTTTTTTTTATAATTTTGCCTATGCCTATTTCGCTCAAAAAATAATGATACCTTCTTGTTTCCTTGTCCAAACAATTTATTTTTAAACACGCGTCATAAGACTGCACTGTTTCTTTGTCGATATTAACTGTTATTTTCAATGGTGGTATATCTGGTGTACAAGTGGGGTAACCACCACTGGAAATATTATACTATATAGAGTATGATACATATTGAAGAGGTACATGTAATGCAGCATGCGGCGTACCCTGTGTATTATGCCATAACGACGAGAGTATGCCGTAATTCAAGGGGATGTGGAGAATCGTCAGATGAGTACGTGAGTGGCTGAAATGATGGTTGCTATGGCAAATTGTGTTTTGGTCATGCAAGACATATTTATTTTATAAAGCAGTTAAAAGCACAAACCTTCTCAGGGGAAAGTCGTTGTTGCAATAGTCAAACTGGGCCCTGGAATAGCACGGACACTTACAAAACGTATTAGAGCTGTCTAGTTTAACACATTGATATTTTGCACTATTGTAGCTGGTAGCCTACAATGAGATCTCGCTATATACATAATATATGTTTAATGTCTGGGTATGTGTACTGAGTACGAAATAATCGGTAATGCTATATGACACGGAATGTGATTCTTGATATTTTCTTAAATCTCTCACGTACATTATCATTTTCGATGATGTTTTCCTGATTTGTAATAATAATAAATATAATGTAACTGATGATTATGCAACTTATATTCAAAATTGGAGCTTCACTTTTTTGTGTACCCCACAATTTTTATTTTATTATTCTATAAGTGTATCTTCTTCCTCACCGAAGAACATTTACATTCTGAGGACTTAGCACCATTTGATTTCTTTTTAATACCAACGAGAGCATTTGTATCTGTCAGTACGTGCAACTCGTAGTTAGGATCGCTGCTAGATTTCATAGTGTCTATGAAGTCGTTCTGTAAATATAAATGACGCGAAAAATAACAATCAAGGTATGACCAATGATTTTTTGATGTATAGTATATATCTAAACATATACAGGGTGTCCGGAAAGTAAAGATACAAATACTCTAATTTTAAGAGATTTAGTTTTTTTGTAATGAAATCACTACAGATTGTAGAGGAACTACATTACAATACATCTACCAACTTTTATAACATATAGTCTAAATGTGTTAAAGTTACGGTTGTCATGGTTACGGTGGTGAGGGGTATGCGGAGCAGTTCCAGGATATCGATAAATTGTGATAAATTGCTAAAATATAGCCATTTGAAAATAGTGTTTATTATTGTATTTCTTATCAGTTTTTTGTTTTTTCAATATTGTATTCTTGCTGCCATAGTATTCTCTTTAGTATAACGATATCATTGATACATATCAGAACTATGTAATGTAAAATCAAAGTAAAGTAAAGTATAATCAATGAAAAAGAGTATATAAGTGCTTAGAAAAAGGGTCCCTGGATTAATAGGAAAGTCAATAGTGCACCTCCACAGTCAATGCTCCAATGCACAAAGCAAAGAAAACAAATCTTACAATTGAATGTCTTGACATTAACCTTTTTGTACATATTTTTGGCCCATATTTCCCTGATAATATCCCGTTGGACTTCTACATTAATGAATATGTTAAAGCAATTTGTGAGAAGTTCAACATAAAAATGAGACTCGGATCGAAGCCAATGTTATCAGCAATCTTAGAGACTGACAGCAAAGGTTTTGTCAGGTCTTGAATCTCCAGTCGAAATGCACCAAGAATGTTTACATAAAGGTGGAAAATACATAATACTGGATAACAGTAGTAATGTCAAATGATTATATTATCTTACAGTCCTTTTGCTGTTGTGGTACATAATTTGATGCATAATAGCAACAGACGACGGAGTGTCAAGATGATATGAACAGGAAAAAAGAATTATAAAACATAATTGTGACGCTGCTCCACATACCCGCGACTCCTGCTACCATAACAACCATAACTTTTTTATTTTGAAACAATTTGTCATGACATTGGCAGGATAAATTGTTACAATGTCATTCTACAATCTGTAGCAATTTCATCTCACAACAGGTAAATCTAATGAAATTAGAGCATTTGTATCTTTACTTTCCGGACACCCTGTACTACAATAAGATAATAATTTCGAACATCAATGAAATAAGTTTGTGACCTGTCTTATTTTGTGTAAAACGTGTATTTTTGGAAAATATCTGATGTGCTTAATATAGACTGTCATTTTAGTTTAAATTAGTTTAGTTTAGATTATTCAAAGTCAATATATGTTTAAAATCACAGAAATAACCAAACCAGTTATATCTTCTTTTTGGTAGTGATGAAACACTACGATGTGGGGGATCAAATGCATTGTTCTACGTTACTAAATTAACCCCATGTCTTTAACTTACCTGTATCCTAGCATAGTCCACAGTCCATGTGTAGTAATATTTAATGGAATCGAAATCCATACATGCTCCTCGTTTCATGAATCCATTTGATATCAAATGGCTTGATATGTCAGGCTCCTATTGAATAATACTTTTTTGGGCCAAAGCTCAGTTCAGCCCCTGGCATGAGAAAGAAATCTTTAGAAGTTTCTTTTTTCCTTAGTTACCGGACTTCATTATATGAGCCAGGCCACAGGAAAAGGGGTCTTAGCACAGATTTTTTAAATATTCTGATTTTTTGTTTATCTTAGAAAGCACAAAGAGACCTTTCAAATGAGCCATGGCTTATGTCTTAACAATTTTTCCTTGCATATATAGACCAAAAAGTCGGATTTGAATTAAGCACATTTTCCTCTTAATCTTGGGCACATTTTTGGCTCTGTAGCACAATTCTAATTTTTGTGATAAGACCGGTTTTCCTATGGCCAGGCTCATATTATGTTTAATTTGATAGATGGTGCTGACTATGAGCTCTTTGAAATGGTATTGTAAATCTTTAACGACCACAACTACTTTATGCACTACTATTTGGTGGAAAATTTGTCAAGAATTTCCAATGTTAAAAACTTATGCCAGCTCATGTTACATTTGCAAACCGGTTGTTTAAATTCTCTAAATCGATGTGTCCTTGTTGCAATGATTGTTATTACACAATTGAGCACTTCATGTTGAATTGTGAAGCACTTGCTGATGTTAGAAGACCCTTGGCAGTATGTTTCAATGAAATGCATTTAATGTCAAATGACCAAAAAATGAGAATGTCTCTCGGGATTCAAATGTCAATAGATGACATTAGCCCAATTTACACTACGCGCAGCATTTCAAGACGTTTTGGCTAAAACGTTTTAGAAAAATTAAGTTGAGTTTACATTACCATTTTCAAGACGTCTTAGGAAATAAGATCGAGTTTACACCTGTTTTCCTAAAACGTCTTAGAGATATGTGGGTATACATGTAAAATGAAAAAAGCAGTTAAGTACTGGTTGAAGGACAGTTCAGTCAATATAGCTATTCCTTTCTCGTTTATATATTTTGTACCCGACTTTGTAATAAAGAATGCATCGGTTTCAGAAAAATATGTCCCTAAGTCAGCATTGTTAAAAGCATGAAGGAAGATTTTATGCATAAATTAGGATTATGATAAATCGCCAGGCAAATAAGTTCTTCTCAATAATTTTGGGATGATATAGGGAACAAGGGATAAGACAAAATAAAGGACCATGCGACATATGTAAATGGAAAGTTTCAAATGTTTCGTTCGGCGCAACGCAAAAAAACGGGCTAAGAGCTAAAACCGATGGATTTACACTTGCTTGTAAAACGTTTTAACGCTAAGACGTCTTTGCTATGACAAGGGTCCTAAAAAGTTTTAGCTAAGCGCTCTTAGCCGAGAGCTCTTGTGTAAATCTGGATTTACATTACATTTGTAAGACGTTTTAACGCTAAAACATTTTAGCTAAGACGTCTTAGCTCGCTAGTGTAAATCCACCAATTAATACGTTAGTTTTTATCTCAGGAATAGTAACTCAAATGTATACTCAAGTGCAATTCCTTGATCTCAAGGCATTGATGGCATTTACTAGGCAAACCATACGTAGTGTGGTATGATAATATCATTCTTGTAAATGGTACTAAATATATGTATATATTTATACCTTTGTTCCTAATTATATTACTGTATGCAATGTAACTGTCTTTTATAGAAGATGCAAATAAATTATACATACATACACTCCCCTCCATAAGTTTGGCCACCTTTTTTCTCCATTGAACTACGTGTTAAAGCCTCTTTACGTTTGAATTTTTATTTACTTAACCGGCGATGAAATAACTTATAATATTGATGGAAACGTAACTTGACTTCATTTCCAATACCTCCAAATTTTCTCAATTTTTTCCTCAATTACAATAGATCGAAAATTGATGATAAACTTGATGAATTTTTTGAAAATCGTCATTCCCATGTTATCCAATGGGAAATGGAGGGTTCGGGGCAAATCAGAAATCAGGATATCTTTTCAGTAAAAGATTCAGCAAAAAAAAATTTTATATAGAAAATTGAATTGTCTAACTTTTTTGAACACTAAGTGTTTAGTTTATTTGATGAATATTAAAGTTACAGCGCTTCAAAGTCATTTTTGAAAATAATTTTTCGCCTCCTGTGTTATTTCAATGGGAGAGGTTTTTGAAAAAAAATTTGACTTTAAAGCCCTATAACTTTGATGAACCTGAAGAAACATATCAATTTTTTGTTAAATAAAGTTAGCAAATTCAATTACCTGCCTAACTCGTATTTTTTGCAAGGACTCGGATGGATGGGTATTCTGTCATATGACTTGCGGCAAACCTACCATTTCCCATTGGTTAACATAGAAATGTTGATTTTCAAAAATTCATCAAATTCATCATTAGTTTTCGACCTACTGTAATTGAGGAAAAAATTGAGAAAATTTGGAGGTATTGGAATTAAAGTCAAATTACGTTTCCATCAATAGTATAAGTATTTTCATCGCAGGTTAAGTAAATAAAAATTCAAAGGTAAAGAGGCTTTAACACGTAGTTCAATGGGGGAAAAAGGTTGCCAAACTTATGGAGGGGAGTGTACATACATACATAAGAAGTTATGTAACAATTGATCGCTGTTCGTCGACTTACGGGTTGTTTGTAATTACGACTTCAAAATAACGGGTTAACTTTCACGGATAGTATCCAAAGCCCCGCTATGATTTCAAAGTCGCGAGCAAGTTCCCGCTGAAATCGCGAGCATAGTCCTGTTTATTTGTATCACTTTGGAAAATGGACCAAAGGGATGAAAATACTTATAACTATTCTTTGATACTCAAGCAATACTTTAAAAACAGATATATTTGACAAACTATGACATGAAACTTGATTCTTTTTCACTGGCATGGCAGAAAAGGGCGTCAACATGCACTTTTGTATAATTGACTGTTCATATATTACGTTTATCGTTAAAATAAATGGCAATGAATACGATTTGCATACTCTATAATACATACCGGATCAATATGATCTGTATTGATAAGTAACTGTACAATTACGAAATACATCATAAAAGGCGTTTCAGTGACCCCTCGTTCGTGCGTGCTTGCGTTCGTTCGACCGTTCGTTCGTACGTGCTTGCTTTCGTCTGACTGTCCATTCATTCATGGGTGCGTCCGTCTGAACATCCGTTCGTCCGTGCGTGCGTGCGTTCTTTCGACCGTCCGTTCATACGTGCGTTCGTGTGGTCGATTTTGCGCGCATTTGTCTAGCCGTCGGTTTATGCATTCGTCCGACCGTTCGTGCATGGGTACGTTCGTCCGACCATTCATTCGTGGATTAATTCGTGTGTGCGTTCGTTCGTGCCTGCGTCCGTTCGTTCGTGCGTGCGTCGGTGCGAGGGTTCGTTCGTTTTTTGTTCGTAAATACTTTTTGCGTTCGTTCGTTTGTTTATTTCTGATAAGGGATGAGTGAGTGAGTTAGTGAGTATGCAAGCTGGCAACAGGAGATTGAGACAAAAATAGTATAACTGAACATTTTCGTTTTAGCTTACGCGTGCGCGTGAATCTTACTGACTATTGACTTGTACTCATATATGATGGAATTTCACTTACTTTTCAAACAGTTGGGTTGATTAGATTTGATGCGTAAAATCAACAACATTTATTTATACATCTTATTATGAAAATGAGGTTAAATTTTTAACATTTCATCGATCTAACACTCATCACATTTCTTAGATGACCTGCTTTATTCCGGAAAATAGCAACGAAGATCATACTGCAGTTTTTCCATTACGACCTATCATAATATGTACTATATCAATACAGTATTTGCTGTTTTTGAGAATTGTATCAACAAATGATATATTCATGAAACTGGGTACAATAGTGGATCAAGCTGGCTACGATAGTGGGAGATTTTCACGGTATAATCAGGATTCACTCCATTTTGAAGAGACACTTGCTCCTGTTTTCAGCGGGACCTCCTCGTGTTTTCAGCGGGGCGTCCTCATGTTTTCAGCGGTGTCTTTGCTGTATTGCTCCTGTTAGAAGCTGGGCCTTGAGGGATATGATAAAATTGAAATAAAAAGTGTTCTGTAAAGCTTTAGGAAGTGAAACTCGGTACATTTTTATTTAAGATCACTATCATTATTTTAACCACAGGACAACGTCGTTCTTCACCTAAAACGTATAGAAATATATAGATAAAGATTCAAGATGATACTTTCTCTCCTCAATTGTGAAATAAAGAACCACAGAACGACCGCTCGTGATACTTTTTTCCACCAGTTGCTTTTTTAGTCTCAATACCATGTAATCATTGGGGAAAATTGAAAGAAAATGTTTTGTACATCATACAATTCAAGTAAACAAAAGACAACTCATCACTTTTTTATTGCTCGCGATTTCAGCGGGAACTTGCTCGCGACTTTGAAATCGTAGCGGGGCTTTGGATACTACCGATGACTTTGAAAATTAATAAGTTAATCTGGTGGCCACTTTTTGCATTCGCGAATACAAGCTTAATGAATCAACCCCGTATCCTATCTGACATCTGTACTTTTCTTGACGCTACTTAAATCCTAACAAATATATATATTATGTTAAAGATATATTGACAACCGTTACAATATCTTTGAAAGCAGTTTTCTTTCGCCCTGGTCACTTTTGTTTTGTTTCATGAATTTAGTAAAATGGTAATAATTGAGATTTGAAGAGGTTTCCCATGAGGTTAATATAAGGCTATAGGCATTCTTGATTTTCCAAATTTTTTTTCAAACTCCCCTGTGCGAAGAGATTGCACCAATTTTAATGGTAGTTTACCACTACCATTCGATTGAAACTGTGATCTCTTCATGTAACGTTTTAGTTGTGATCAAGAGATTTTTCTCGAAACATTGCTTGGCAGTAGGACAGACATGCTAATCAACTGTGATCAAGTTACTCTGGAACAGCTTATTGTGCTCTGTTAAATAGATCGCATGCTAGATATTTTAATAGAAGTAATAGAATGAAAACTTTTATATCGAAGTA